ACAGGGAAGAAGCAACCACACAGGTCACAGATAGGAGCAGAGCTGGGAAGGAACTCCAAGGGTTGTCTGGTTGATCGGGACTCAAGGAGGCTGTTCTCTGAAGCTCATCAGCCCCCAGCAAAGGTGGGGCAGGCAATCGCTCTCCTCCCCACTCCCCAAGCTGGGGCCAGGCCACCGCCCACCCATGCACCTGGCTGCCCCTGCCTGTCTCTCCAGCCCCAGTGCTGTCTGCTCCCAAGGCTCTTCATGCTGAGAACAGCATCATGGGAATGACCAAGGCTAATGGGGTTATCTTCCCCCAAACACTCCTATAATCCTCATTTCTGGGCCCCTCACCCTCTCAGCACACTCTGCCTGGGCAGCCCTTGGATTTCAGCGTCATTAGTCACCTCTGTGCAGTGAATTAAAGTCCTCTCATGTGTGTGAATGAATACCTCAAGAAGCATCCACACCCCTAGTGGTATCTCTTCCTTACATTCCTCCTTCTGCACCCCAGGGACTGCCCCCAGTTACCACCCCCCTCACATCTCTCCCTCTGCACCCCAGGGACTGCCCCCAGCAAACCCACCCCCACCTTCTGGCTGCCCATCTCTGGGCCTCTGCATATTGAGGAAATGTTGACTCACTGGGACATCGCCCCAGCCAAAGAAAATCAGGAAGAGAAATTAGCTCAAGAACATCTCAGATATTGAGGCAAAGACAAAGAAAGACTAAGTACACTGCTTCTTGGACTGCCCCCGACTCTGCACCCACACCTCTGTGCCACCCTGGGACACTAGTCAGAGCAGCACCTTTGCGGCTGACAAACACCACCCATTGGCTCGATTTTTCAGAGAACCCTGGCCCTGGTCCTGCCAACCTGACTGGGTGGCCTCGCCTTCCTGGTTTCTGTGTCTGTAAAAGGAGGGTTGGGGTGTTGCCTTCTTGGTGAGGTTCGTTCAAGCTCTAACTTGACTGGAAAGCATGTCTTAGCTTCTCTGGCAATCAGATTCCTAACCTTGCAACTATCAGTAGTCATGCTTGTCCCTCTGTTCACATGAGAGAACGTGGAAAGAACTGATGATATGTTACAGATGTACAGTGATGTCCACAGAAGGCACCATGACTATCGCTGGGGGAAACTGAGGGATAGAAAACATGTGTTTCTTGGGGTCACGTGGCCTGGTCAGGGACAGCAAAGGAAGCCCAGGGCCCCTGAAATAGCCATGGCTGGGGCACTCCCCCACCATGCTGCCTTCCTCCTCCCCAGTCCACACCAGGAGATCGCTCCTATATGGAACGCACACCTTACCGGCAGCCTGCTCTTCCTCTTCAAGTCTGCGGGAGTGTAGATGTTTAGGTAAAGGCAGTCTTCGGAGAACTTGAGAGGAATGTTCTCCTTTCTGTTGGTAAAGAGCTCAGAGAGCATCTGGGCTGACACGGCATCTTGGGAGCACCTTGGGGAGGTGGGGAGAGAGATATACTCAGGTTCAGCCAGAGCTGCGCACAGACCGTGGCCTGGGAGCTCTGTTCCTGTGCAAAGCTGCTCGTACCAGAGAGAAGACGTTTGCAAAGCTGCTCTTACCAGAGAGAAGACGTTGAGTGGGTAGGAAGCCATAAGCGCGGGCCCTGGGGCTCACTAAAGCCTCCTAGCATCATATATAGCGAGAAGGCCTGGCTCCTCTCCTTGTCCTGGCAATTTTGGATGCACCAGGTCATGGACAGGAGGCTGCCTAGCTACTGCCCACCTGGGCGATGGTCGTCCTTCTCACCCTGGACGCAGCCCAGCTCTGTACTGGGCTTCCGTGGAGGGTGCAGTGGAGCCATGCAACTCCACCAAGGAACCCAGGTGGTCGAGTCCACAGGATACTCACATTTTTTTCCAAAGCACTTAGTATCCTATCTATACTAATAAAAGGGTATTATGCTAATTAGACCGGATAGAACGGACATCTTCCAGATGTCCTTCCAGACAAAGGTGCAGTGGCTGAGAGGGCTGAGGAGGGCCAGAGGCCGGCAGTGGTTGAGGGACACCTCTTCCCAGTGCACAAATTTTCGTGCACCAGACCTCTAGTTCTAACATATTATATAATGTATGTATTAACTTGCATGGTGTTTATCATCTATCTCTCCCAGCTGGAACACAAGCTCCTTGAAGGTAGGAATATCTGTTTCCTTCACTAATGGAGCCCAGGAACTTAGAACATGCCTAGCACACAGTAGGTGCTCAATAAATACTTGTTGGATAAAAGGCTCTAGCATGCTATGGGAGTTCTGGAATTTGCTGTTGTTGTTTATAAATATATTTTAATTGATTTTAGAGAGGAGGGAAGAGGGAGAGACAGATAGAAACATCAAGGATGAGAGAGAATCATGGATTGGGTGCCTCCTGCACACCCCATACTGGGGATCCAGCCGGCAATTCGGGCATGTGCCCTGACCCGGAATCAAACCGTGACTTCCTGGTTCATAGGTTGACGCTCCACCACTGAGCCACACGGGCTTGGCTGGAATGTTTTTAAGGATCTACCGTATCTTAAGGATCCAGAACAATGGAGAAGGCACTCAGAGGCGTGCCTGGGCACTTGCCCGCATCCCTCTGAGGCAAACGTTCCACTAAAAGATGCCAACACTTACATAGGAGGGTAGGAGGTGGCATTCTTCACGAAGGTCCATGGATCTGCAGGCTGCGGAGGAGCAAACCTCAGGGGTCCGAGCGGCGGCTTGGCAAAGGGGACTCCCAGGAAAACGGCCACGGGCTGTGCAAAGCCTTCTAGGCTGACATACTCCCCCAGGACCGGGCCCTGCACGGTGTCCACCACAGGGGGCAAAGGTGGGTGCCCTGTGGAGAGGAAATGAGGACACGCCCCCAATGAGAGGTTGGAACTAGACTCCGGGTGGGTCTTGCCCCAGGTGACCCTGAAAGAGTCCCCTCAACTCCTAGGCCTCCATTTCTTCTTACGTCAAAAAGAGAGGAGATGAACCGGCCTTCCTAACTCATAGGGTCCTAAGGAGCCCGTGGGAATTGGAGAAATCACAGCATCAAGTACAACATCAATGCAAGGACAGCTGCTGGGCGCGGACAGGACATAGGGTTTC